TTTATATATATATATATATATATATATATATATATATATATATATATATATATATATATATATATATATATATATATATATATATATAAACAAAAATGAGAAAAATAAATAATATCATACAAAATTAATGAAATAAATAAGGTAATCAATAGAAATTATTAAACTGAGACTGGTAAAAAATAAAATAAAAAGATACGATGTAGTGAGTTTTAACATTTTACGCACTATACAAAGTATTAGTGTACGACTTCTCCTTATTTTTAGGAAAAATTATCTAGAATAATCCCAACTTTACTCATTCTTCTTAAGTAGTATATTAATACACTTTATAATGCATAGAATGTTAGAACCTTGAACTCCTTATATTTGTATTTTATTTCTTACTAGTTTTAGTTTAAATTCTATTGATTATCTTATTTATTCCATTAACTTTTTAAAGTTTTATTTATTTTTTCAATTTTTACTCCATATTTCTTTTTTATTTGTTTTATAAAGGTAAGGCTAGTCTTTAAAAAAAAGAAAAAGAAATAAAGATAGAAAGTCATTTTAAAAACTTTAAATAAAAATTTCAAATAAAAAAAGTTTTAATTGAAAATACATCAGAAATAATCACAACTTTTATTTTGTTGCGTAAAATTGGCAGTCTGTGTTAACTCGTCGTATTAAACTTAACGGCGACCCAAAACTTACAAGTTTCACTAGACTTGAGATTATGATGCATCATAATGAAAAGTGCAATTATTTTTTAAAGACCAGGTAAAGTTAGGATTATTTTTCCATAAATGGTATATAAGTTTGACATATTAAAACTAAATCTTAAATAAAACTAATCATATTAGAGTTACATTACAATTATTTTTTTCATAATTCGTGATAAAACATTTTTAAAATTTGATAAAAAAATTTTAGGGGACAAGGGGAGTATAAGCATGAATATATTAAAAATAATTATTTTAATTATTAACGATCAAAAAAAATCCCAATGGCTTAAACGTCAAACCATTGATTCTCGTCGTCAAGAATCTTATTTAATTTAAAACAGCTATCTTTCCTCAAAAAACAAAAATAAAGAATAAAACAGCTTTAAAAATATAATGAGCCAACAGCTAAAAATGAAGCAACGATTAGCTTAAAGAAGTTAATGTAGCAAGGGAGAAGGACCAAAATAGTAGTAAAACATATAACA